TCCGTTGCTTCTCAGCAGCACAGCGCAGACGCACAGGTATTAAACGCTTTCCTTCTGGGATGCCTCTTTCTCCACGTAAATTACACAGTTCATTGAGGCTGTCGCTCTCTATTCTCAGAGTCTATCCTAAAACAGTCTACGCTATGCCTGGCATATAATGGACCCATCATCTGTATTTGAGAACATGAATTTATTTTATTCCTTTAACTGCGAATAAATCGTTTTTTAAAATCCTGAAATTGTTGGGAATGCTTTTGTTTTTGAAATCGCCTCTATCATCAAACACTGTGAAACTGGATTTATTCATGTCAAGTCTAATGTAAATTACCAGGCCAGAGACAGCTCACTGAGCACGCAGAGACCAAGAACAACTTGACTTCAGGTGGCAACTGTACTCCTAAAATGTACCACTAGATGGCAGCCGCACCCCAGGAGCGGGCCACCTCCTCCCTGAGCCACGCCACACCCCAGATTTTGCCCCACCCAGACCCTTCCCTTTCCGGGACGAAGACCCCCACCTAAGGAAGAGCGCAGGTCCTGGAAGATAACGATCGTGCTGGGAACCAGCCCCTCCGAGCTGAAGGAAAAGGACAGTCTACCCTCCAGACCCTCAGCCTCCTTTATATAAACTCTGGCCCCTTCCTTCTTCCTGTCCCGGCCTCCTCCTCGGCAGCCCGTTTGCTCCTTTTCCCCAAGCAGGGCCTGCGGACCGCAATCTCACGGCCGGTTCCTTTAATCCGAAGGGGGAAGAAGGGTCAGAGGGTGGAGAAGGGGGAGGGAGGGCTGTAAAGGGATCGAGAATAATCCAGACATGTAAGACGAACACAGCAATCACATGCCACAAACATACACTTTGTTTAAATTTATAATGTCAAGAAAACAAAACAACAAAGTACCGGCGAAGAGAAGGGACTGTATTCTTTTCCCTATAAATTGGACGCTTTGACAACTGTCAGGTGCACAAAACAGAGGCAGTCCAAGAAAGAGCCAGACAAAGAACAAGAACCTCAGAAGAGGGTGGGGCGGAGCTGGGATTCTCTCTGAGCTTATTTTCCAAGCGTCTTGGTGCTGTTTTCGGCCTTGACTGTGGTGGTTATTAGATCGCAGTGAAAAGTTGCCTGACCGCGGAGAGAATGGACTCCGCACAGCGCCTCGTCGTGTCTGTCCACAATCCAGCTTCAAAGTCTCAGTCTCATTGGCTTCACAGCTGCCTCCGCCTCCCCACGCCCAACTCCCACGTTTCCAGCCTCGCTTGGCACCCGCAGCACCCACCACCCACACACACACCGGCCACTCTCCTCATGCTACCGCGCAGCCCAGAGCCAGCCCTGGTTACAGCGCCCTCCCGCTTGCGGCTGGCATCTCTGAGATAAGCCAGGGCCCTGCAGGACCTCGGCTTGGGGCAGCCGCCTCCCTTGAAGAGGATGCAGAGTTCCTCTGAGACGTCCTAGCTCTAACCCCCGCCTTGATGCCAAAGGCCCGGAGGAAGGGAGGTTGGAACTGATCCCTGCGTTCAGGTCTTAGGTCCTGGCGACCTGTACCTGTGTTATATCAGAGAAGATATAAAAAACAGCCCTGCCTATGTCATGGTGTAAAGGTTGAGCACAGCAAGGGCAAGGTACCTGCTGAATAATCAACCACGAGGCCATTTGGTCACCATGGTTGGGAAGCCTTCTCTGTAGCAACACAGCGTGCTAGGACCCAGCCAGCATGAAACGGAGACACAGGATTGGCAAAATGGAAAATGTCCAGTGATGCACAGAAGGAAAGCAGCGGAATGCGGAACGCAAGGGAAACAAGGCCAGAAGGGAAGGATTCCGCTAATTAGCCCCACGGGGCCCTCCTACCATGTATGCATATTTGACAACATCGTGTGCGCCACAGTAAATGTATACGATTTTTACCCATTTAAAACTAACCACTTTTTAAAAAATATATTGTGTTAAGGTTCCTATTTCAAAAGACTGAGCATCTCTCATAAATGAGTGGCATGAGCAGAGGAAGAAGGGACTTCCACAGGTGTGAAGCAGCTTAGGAGATTTAACCACCAAAAGCAATGGGGGGAGGGGAGGTGTTTCGATCCTGTTTTGAGAAGTCCTGCCTATTAGTGGTTTCGTGACAGTCAGGGACATATGAACATGGAATGTGTGTTATCATTAAGGACTATTTACATCACGCATATGGTTGTGATCGAATTGTGGCCATTGTTATAGATAGTCCCATCTCTTGAGGATTTCACTGAAGGGTATCTGGGGTTTACTTTGAAAATACTCAAAAGGAAAAAAAACATAAGAGGGAGACCATTGAACAGGAATACTGATCATCTTTGAAGCTGGATTGTGGACAGACCCATGGAGGTTCATCGAGATAATTTTCGTCCCTACTTTTGTATATGTTTAAAATGTTCCATATTGAAGAAATTTTATCGGCGCTTGGAAAGACGAGACTGACAGGTAGATGGAAGACAGGCAGTCATCAAGAATAATAGATCCATGGGGCAGCAATGAAGGTGCAGAGGAGGGAGGCTGCAGAAGAGGAAAGGCCGGACCCATTGGGTTAGCTAAATACAGATGGGCAGAAAGATTCCAGAAAAAACAAGCCTGTATGCATAAGCATAGAAGCCCCCAACGGCATCCATTGCTCAAAAGCTTTTAGTAGGACAGTAAATTGATGCTGGTTTGCTTGGAACTTTCCTGGTTTGGCCCTGAATTTCCCACATCTTGGGAAATCCATCTGTCCTCAGCAAACCCTGACAGCTGGCCTCCTTCCCTTCCCATTGCTATATGGAATGGGAAATGGTACTGGCCGGCTCAGGTCTGCAGCAGCTAGCTGCGATCTACAGGATGGAGAGTTAAGGCACTCTGAGTAAGAGGCCAAGAGGGACCCTCAGCAATACCCATATTTTCTGTTCCTTAAACACCACACTTCAACAGCCAGCTCCTCAGCCTGGAGCATGTGAAGTCTAGTGCCAAGGGATAAGCTGAATTCTTATGTCTTCTCTGCTCTGCTACCTTGGGACAGCACAGTTTTTATCCTGGAATTCTCTCTTCTGACCTCAAGTCATATTGTATATATGTATTCTATATATTTTTAATATTTTTTAGTAAGACTCCACAGGGTCTATAGGGTCTCACCACATAGATCAGACTTATAGTGATCCGCCTGTGTTCAGCCCCCCAAAGAGCTGGGATTACAGATGCCCACAACCATGCCCAGTCTTAATAACCATCTCAGTGCGCCCTGGGGGTGGGGCTGGCACAGCAGGCCAGGAATCAAACCCCTGGCCCCTGTGTCTGCCTAAACAGGTGTTCAATCTGCTGAGCTATTTGGCTGGCCCTATGCATTCTATATTTAGTAATACTTACTACCAGCATTTTCTCATTTAGCCCTTATAAAACTCTATAGCATAGAATTTATTAGAGCTCAGAGAAGGAATTTGTACATGGCTAATATATAGACAGCAATACACCCTCGCAGGGTGATGAATTAATACAGATAAAGTGCTTAGAAGAGCACCTAACATAGAAGTGATCATTGAGACTGATGGCCAGGACTATGCCAAACTGCCACACTCTGCAGCAGGTGGGAGAAAGTAAAAACGTCTGAATTTGGAGAAAGCAATGATCTGATTATATGCAGTGTGAAATAATTCACCACTTTGAACTCAAGACCTTCAGTGTAACAAACTGATCTGAGCATATAGTCAGAGGCATCTACAGAAGAGGAACATCTTCAGGAGCCCTTAAAACAAGCTGCCCTAGGCAAGCACTCAAGGTTATGGGAGCCTCCTCGTCCCTAGGACACCCATGCTTCACAAAGGACAGCGTTGCCTGTTCACTTGACCCTCACCCAGCAGCCCCGGGGACTGGCCTGCCCTCAAAGCTCCTGGCTTCTCTAGCCTTTATTCATACAATTTCTGTGAAGCCTTCCCAGTCTGAGAATTTCTTATTCATTGCACAGGGAAGAAAATCAAGGTGGCGAAGACAGAAGAACCACACCTGCTTGACTTTCAACATCCGGAGCACACTTCAGAGAGAGCCTTGTCACAGGCCATAGAAGAAACATCCAAAGCACTGTTACCTGGAGCCAGAGCCGCTGTGCGCCCACCTGCCCTGAGGAGCAATGGCACCTCGCATTCTCAACTCAGTGCGAAGGAGGGCATGGCCAGTCTGGCCGCCAGAGTCATAGACGCTGCTATTGACCTCCGCATATCCACCAGCATCTGGAGAACTGGCAACCCAGCAAAGTGCTCCAGCTTCCCCAAGTACAGACCAGCAAAGGCAGGCAAAGTGGAAACCTTTTCTCAGCCACTTGCAGTGATTTTTCGTCCTTCTGGTGACTGTCATAGCAGGCATCGCACATAAAACAATAGGGACCCAATTGGAAAAGGCATGTAACATAGAGGTGAGCATGCTGCTGTCCCCACCTCAGAGACTTCTAGGCCTGCAAGTGAGGGTGGTTTCGTTGTAGGCTCTGATGTTTTGTACACAGGGTGCCCACCATGGACGCTGGGATGCTCCCAGAGGCATTCCTGTCATATTGGAACTAAGGCCAGTCCCTACATCAGCTTGTGCCCCTCCAACATCCCAGCAAATGAGGTTCCCAGAGCCATCAAATCCTGCACTGACCACAGCAGGCAGAGCATCTGTGTCAATTCAAACTCTAGTCCACCATTGCGACCACACGTCCATCTCCTGTAACCCCAAACCCTGAGTCTTCTGATTTCGGAGGCTGGGTCCAAAGGACCGGCCCTGCCCGAGCTCTACCAACTGAAGGCACTCCTCCACCAAAACTCGAAGACAGGCTGCAAGGAAGCTTCATGAATTTTTCACAAGATTCATCTAATAGTGGCTGAGCAGAGCTGAGAAAGCCCCAGTCCAGTGCCTGTGCCAGCAGCTCGCAAAGAGTTAACCCATTAGGCCACATCCTGGTGAGCTCATCCCGGCTGGAGCCTGCTTGCTTGGTTGCTGGGATTTGCAGCACACTGACTTCTGGATGGGCCAGGGTGGCTTTCCCCTGCTGGGATGAAGGACTTGAGCAGAAACATCACTGGCTTCTTCCCTGTATGAACACCGAGCAAGTCCCAGGACCCCCATCCTCCCCTGGGACACTAAGGACAGTAAGTAAATTCCCCTCTGTCCTTCCTGCCCTCTTCCCCGGAGGAAAGAGCTGGTCTTACCTGTGCTTTAGTGTGTTAAGTCTTTGAACTGGAGTCAGAAGGCAAATATGAATTACTAGGGGTGATGGACGCAGTAAGGCTAGCTGCCAGAAGGGAGGCAGGGTGGAGGGACTGCTCCCTTGCCTGCTAAGAGTGGTGGAGGGCACAGTGATAGACAGGGGAGGTGCATAGGCGCATGGAGTGTCCATTGCTGTGCACTGAGATGAAGGAAATATGTGTATTGAGTGCTGATTTGCCCAGTGAACAGAACCGGGCCTGCCACCCTCGTAAACCTGGGGCTGAAGGGGTGAGCAGGAACCCTCTGCCCCAACCTATATGAAAGCAGGAATAAAAAGGCCAGATGGGGACATGCAAGGCCACCTGCTTTCAGCCGCTCTCAGACTCAGCTTTCTTCCTGGGCACCCCACATCTGCTCTCAGTAGCTTCACAACAAGCCCTCCTGCCTGCAGGTGTGGCCAGTGCCCCAAGCAGGTGCCAGGAAAACAAGGTGGAGCACAGTGGTTGTGGTGGTTTTCATCTCAGAAAGAGAAAACAGGGCAGGCAAATGAAGGCATGGACAAGTGCACTCAGTCACACAGGCTCCGGGTGTAGGGCCCCCTTTGAGAAAAGCTAGGGATGAGCACACTTAGAGCTGTTTCTCTAGAGCTGTTTTTCTGCCCTGTCGCTCAGCGGGGCCCAGGTGCTGGCTATGTCCTGAAGAGGGAGGGAGGTGATACCCTCCAGACTGCCTGTGACCTTAGGGACAGTTCCCTTCCTAGAAGTGCTGTGAGCTGGGGACAGATGGGAGGCCCTGGCCATGTTGACAGAGCAGCATATTCCAATGCTTTCAAGTCTTTACGTCACCAGCCAAGGCACCAGCCCTTCTCACCTTATCAGCATAGTGAACCACCACCAACTCATGTCCTGGCCAGGGGAGGATAGCACAGGGCAAAAGACAAAGACCCTGGGGATGGCCACTGATGAATGCAGCTGAGTGGGGTAGGTGGAGACCCCACGGCGGAAGAGAAGACCTGCTGCTCCTCACCATACTGGCCCCTCGGGAGTAAGTGAAGCCAGGCCACAGCCCCCATCCTGCAGCCTGCCCTTCCCTCTCCTCCTAGCATTCTGCTGGCTGGCCCCGCTTCCCCACTTGGAGGTCATCTGTGACCTGCCTCTGCCTTGTAATTCCCAGAATAGCCCAACTCCTATCAGAACTCTTGGTGGAGGGAGGCCGGGGAGGAGAAACAAGAAGAGCCAGATAACTGCAGGCCCAAAGGAGTCCACCCAGCCTGTCCCTTTATGGTATTACACTGGTGAGATAGGATGTCCAATCCAATTTGAATGGCTAATAAATAACGAATGCAGCTTTTGCTGTACGGATGCCCCATGTTGTGTTGGAACATTCTTATACTTTCAAAAGCTTCTGTTGTTTATTCCAAACTCAAATTCAACCAGACACCTTATAATTATATTTGCTAAATCTGGCGGCTCTGCCTAATACTGGCCATGTTTCAGCACGTTCAAAGAAGGACGGCCTCCCAGAAGGACTGAGGAGCTAGCTTTAAAGAAAAGATGAGTTCTAGAGAGGAGGTAGAATGTTAGTGAAGGAAAACACAAAAAAAAAGGTGTGGTTTCATCTTTGAGAAAGTATGAGCCACTATATGAAGGAATAGGGTTTGGGGCCAAGCAGCCCTAGACCTCAGTTTCCTTCCCTGTAACATGGGCACAATACTGATGGTACTAACCTAGTAGCACTAGGAGGACTCAAAATGACTCCACACAGAGAAGCAGCACATGCCAAGGCACCTCGTGCTTCACTAGAAGGATGGTGGTGGTGATGGCTCTGCCACTACTCTGTCCTCAAGGGCTCCTCCCTCCTCCCCCATCCACAGTCTCAGGCCTGCCATCCCTTCACTCAAAGCAGCTGCCACTGAAGTTCTCTTTACTGTCTACATCCGCATTTGAGTTTCCTCTTTCCTTGGTTTGAAAAGAAAATCCAAATTTCCTCCAAGGAGGAGCAGGATAGGCTTGAATCTGGACTCTGGCGTCAGCCAAGCTCAAAGCTCAAATTCCAGTCTTTTCTCTTTATTTACTTGTGCATAACTTTAAGGAAATTAGTTAAGCTTCTCTGACCCTTGGTTTCCTCCTCTAAAACATGGGGCAACAGTTGCACCTTCCTCAGTGACTGTCAGGAGGCTGCAGTGAGACAGGGCAGACTGAGCACTTAGCCAGTTCCCAGCACCCAGGGAAAGTTGGGTAAGTAGTAGCTACTATTCGATGACATTGCTTCTACTGTGAAGAGGCAGAAGTGCTTCTACTTCTACTCCAAGCAGAGACCTTTACTTGGAGTCCTTGGAGACTCTAGGAACTTTGGCCCACAGAAGATAACCAGTCTTGGAGTGAGCAGTGACTCAGCTCCCAAGAAAGAGCAGGGGTCAAAATGCACACCACCCTGCCCATCGTCACTGAATCTTGGGCTCCACTGCCGCCACCACCACCACCAGGGCTGTCCTTGCTACCTTGCTCTAAGGTCAGAGGAACTTATCCATAGCCACCAGGCAGGAAAATGGCAGAACAGTGATCTGGCATCGCAGTGTTAGCCAGGCTTTAACCTTTCTGTAGCCCCAACTGGAAACTGGAAAAGAAGCAAAATCTGAGTAAACTGCTTTGCAAGCTACCTTCAAATCACTCTCTTTCCTCTACCCAACAAAATTCCTGTATTTAGTCAGGTATATGACAACTGCTCACTGAGTCCAGGGTCTCAAGCAAAGTGCTAAGTGATTGCTGGGGGTGCAAGAAGCTGAGGGAAATCCAGCCCTAGCTCCCAAAGGACTCCAGAGGGAAGAGAGGGTTTCCAGAATCTTAAATAGAGACACATACCAGTCATCTTCAGGGGCAACTTATGTCACTGCCCTCTTAAATTGTCCCTTTCAGGAAAGAAACTGCTCAAAAGGAAAGAATAACTGGGATGAGGGAAAGGAGAGAAAAAAAGAAAGAAAGAAAGAAAGAAAGAAAGAAAGAAAGAAAGAAAGAAAGAAAGAAAGAAAGAAAGAAAGAAAGGTTGTATTACTAATTTCTATCAGTTTATTGAAAGGGACAGCTAATACCTAATTTCTTTTTTTTTTTTTTTCCAATTTGGCATGCTTATATCTGGTAACTTGAACAACTGCTTTGAGGACAATATGCAGTAAGACAACTGCATATTTTGTTGCATTCCAAAAAAAAAAAATTCTTACAGACACTCAAGAATCTACTGAAGGGGAAACTATCACCCCCAATTGTCATTGTTCAACAACTTGAAGATCTCCGCAGCAAACCATAGGTTGGGGTATAAATATCTGAATATATGAGAAAAAGTACAAAATGTTCCAACTGCATCCTCCTCTGCCCTCTCATTAAGGCATAATCTGATCCTCTGTGCAATCCCTCACCCATGTTGGGGTGAAGGAGGAGCTAGCTGGAAGACTCATTTCCACCCACCCAGGAACTCCCCAAGTTCTCTAGTTTATTCCTCCCCATCTCAACTTCCGGGTCCAAGCTTTGTCACCATAATTAGTTGCTAGCTGATTCTAGAACTCTATATAAGTGGAAACATGCAATATATCTAATGTCTTTCCAGTACAGCTGTGAATTTTATGCATGCTGTGGTTTGTAGCAAAAAATAGTTCCTTTTTATTGCTTAGTCAAATTCTGATGTGTGAACATACACCCTTTTTTCCTTTCTTCTACTGATGGACCTTTAGATTTAATTTTTTGGCTAGTATAAATAAAGTTTCTAGAAATGGTTTTAAATGCATTTTATTAGCATCTATCATGATATATAATATATTCATAGTAGGGAGTTGATACATATACATATTACATCTTGATCCTATTTCCTTCACCTTCTTCTTCTCTCCCTCTCATCTCCCCTCATCCCAGACACCTTTAGCATCTCTACAGACTCTACCTATCTGTTTTCTATTATTTTTAGTTCACTCTTCAAATTATTTATACTTCTGATTTATCATATAGGAGAAACCATGTCATATTTAACTTTTTGTTTCTGATTTATTTCACTTAGCATTATGGTCTCAAAGTACATCCAATTTCCTATAATGCCTGGAATTTATCCTTCTGTATGGCTGAGAAGAATACATTGTAGTGTGAATATACACCACTTTCTTTGTTCAGTAGTTGATACACATATAGGCTGCTTCCAAATTTGAACTATTATGTATAAGTGTATTCTATGAATATTCATAAATTTTTGTGGAGATAAGTTTTCACTTCTGTTGGGCAAGTAAATATCGAGGAAGGAATTGCTCCATTAAAGAATGGGTGTATGTTTAACTTGATAGGAAATTACCAACTTTGCATGCTTGCAGAACTCCAGTTGGTCTACATGCTCACCCACTTGATGTACACTGAAATTTTAGATGTTTAGGCATTCTAGTGGGGATAACTCCTTGCGAGTTTAATTTCTATTATCCTATTAAATACCAACATCAAGCATTTTTTCATGCACTTCTTATTCATTCATTATCCAGTAATGAGCTATTTAGATGTTTTGCCTATTCTTTCATTGGACTTCTTGCCTTCTTATTTGTCATCTGTAGTGAGAGATACACATTGTATAAATATTTTGTCCCTAGTCCAGAGTTTGCATCTTCTTTCAGAATATCTTTTAATAAGCAGACATTGTAAACTTCAATGAAATCTAACTTATTGATTTTCTCTGTCCCAAGAAAACTTCGCCTGCCTCCAGGTTATCCTCTTTCTCCTCCAGAAGTGTTGTAGTTTTAGCTTTCATATTCCAGTTAAGTCTATGATTCATCTCTGATTAATTTTTGTTGATGGTGTGAAGTGGAGTCAAGTTTCATGGGTTTTTTTCCCCTATGACTATCAAGTTGTTCCAGCACCATTAGCTGAAAGGCCAGTCTTTTCCCTACTGAATTCCTTTGGTGCGTTTATTGAAAATC